TGATAAACACAGAAGTTGTTGTTCAGTCACTTAGTCGCATCTAACTCTTTGCGACCTCTTGGACTGCAGCACACCAGGCTTCCCTGTCCTTCACCATCTCCTGGAGTTTGTGCTCAAACTCATGTCCATTGAATCCGTGAAATACAGAAGTAGGCTATTTAATCTGTGCTGCAGACTAACTACACTGCATCAAAGCACTTTACTAAGAGCTAGGTTAGAAGTCAGAAATGCCACATATCTTCTGACTGTGATCATTAGAATCTGTAATGCTTTTTAGCATCTCCAAAATGAGACATAAGCTTTCCACCCAGAATCCACAAGAATAATGAGATATCATAATATTTTTCTCAAGACTATCTTGATCACCATCAGTATAGACAACTTCATCTACAACTTTACACAATGGTGAACTGTCATTGTCAAAATGATGACAGAAAACATGGTATTCTCTTTGGAATTAGTAATTTGGAGCAAAACAAATCAAAATAACTCCATAATAATAATAAAAGTATTAGTCATTCAGTCATGTTCGACTCTATGCAACCCCATGAACTGTAGCCCACCAGGTTCCTCGGTTCATGGAATTCTCCAAGTAAGCATACTGGAGCGAGTTGCCATTCCCTTTTCCAGGGGATCTTCCCAACCCAGGGATGGAACCCAGGTCTCCCGCATTGCAGGCAGATTCTTTACCATCTGAGCCACCAGGGAAGCCCCATAGAAATCAACAAACATATTTGCAAATTCATTTTCAGGTCACTGAAAACAAAACCCAGAAAAACCTATTTTGCTTCATGTGTTGAAAACAAAGAGATTACTCCTGTAGTGGTGTGCCTGTTCTGAGAGTTACTCTCTAAAATAGGGTCATATAAGAATATTTTCACCCAAATACTAGCCATAAACAATTACTGAGATACATGTTATTGTTTATATTTAGGTTTTTGGCCAATTAATACTAAATACATTAATAAAGACTGGAAAGTTTAAGAATTAATGAACTCTAACCATTATGTTTCAGCAGAGTTAGTCAGGAAAACATTTTTACTAGGCCCAAATGAAGTATCTTTCATTCATTAATACAGAACCACAGGGCATACTTAGACATCAGAGGCTCAATTATCTAAAAAGAGTTCCTAGGGAAACAAAAAAACTTTCCATTTTCATTCTGTAACTATTCCTTTACAACAGAAAGTATTCTTTCCTTTTTGGCATTCTCTCTTTTCTCTCTACCTCAGGACATATTTACAGATGCACTGGCTGCTTTACAGACATGCTAAAAGTTCGTGCTGTGGTTGATCAAAGTCGGAATGCCTGAGGAAATTACTCAACTGAGACAGCCTGGAATTGTATCTAGCCAAAGAGTTACAGTGCTCCACTTTTAACATGTGTTAAAGTAATATTTTAGCCATCCTGGATGTAAGTTAAGAGAACATTTGTTTGCATCACACTCTGTGAACAGTTGAGTCAAATATACTATGCTGAATACCCAGTTTGAGTATCTGTGACAGTTCACTTTTTTAACTGCTCAATTACACACACAAAAAAACACATACTTTATATTTTTTAAAAAAACTAACTCACAATAGCCTATGTATTAGGAACTAAGACTTTTAAATGATCTTGAAGCATCTAAGCTCTTCTAGAAAAGTCAGAATAAATGCATCAAATACTTCTTTTGTTCACTTGAGCATTTGTTGATTTGGCACACAATATTCTGTCAAAAATAGAACCAGGTTTTTTCTCTAATTTATTATTAAAAGTATCTTTATGAAAAAGCACTGCCCATCTGTATTCACCTTCTTTCCATTATTAACCTGCCTAATTAATCTGCAAACAAACAGATAACCTAGTTAAGCAGAAAAATGACATCACAGCAGTTTATTTTCATGGGTTCTTTAATTGCAAGCCACCGAATTCTGGTACAAAGAGTTACTTGTCAAACATAACACAAATCTCTAAAATAAAATATTGGCTTCAACAGACCTGCACATCTGAAATAGTTTTAAACTTTGTTTTAGTTGGAGTCTTTACGATGTCCAGGAAGAGGTTAGCACACCCGGTACCTGAAATTGTCCTTTCCACATGAGCTACAATAGAAAAGACAAATGGAACTGTTTCTGTGGTAAAGCCAACTTTGGCATCTCCTTATACTTCCCTACAACCTAAACAATAATACCTTTTAACCATGTTGATGATGTGAAAATATCACTCAAAAAGAACCTAACACACCACAAAATTATAATAATGTAATCCATCCTTCTGTCAAATGTTAAGTGAGGACATGGCAGATTGGAGGGGCAAGGAAGTGTCACTAACTTGTAAGTAGGACTTTTAACTATGATTTTAACTTAAAAGATGTCCAGCCCACTAGAAAATGTTAACATCTGCACACACTTACAATAGAGGAAAACAAAAATAAGTTCCCCACTCGGAATTTTCTGAGAAGCCTAGTAAGTGCTGTAGCGTTGATACCCTGTGTTATATGCATGTCATAAACTGTCAGGAAATGTGATTTCCATGCAGGATGCTGGACCCTGAGTGGGAATGACTGCCAGTAAAAACTCCCTGGCAGTCAGATTGGCCAAAGCACTGCTCTCCACTGAGATGCCTAGCACTCGATTTTAAGCTGTTTGCTCTGCTACAGCGAGGTGCAGTCCTTCATTATCCTAAAAGGTAAAGTCTGCTATACAGATAAAAATTAGATGGCAGGCACACCGAGAGCGAATGGGAGGAAAAAACAGAAGTAATGCTGTGTGCTGCTTTGTAGCAGGGTTTAGGACATGATCTTGATGAGATTCCTAAAAATTATATAACAAATTTCTTTCTCATTCCTTTCCAAATTCTGAATAAAGTCCCATCTTTGAGAGATAGATTAAAAACTTAAAATCAAAGGCAGTCTTTCAGACTGACCTTCATGATTATCAGCCCGTGATTTTGCTGAACACAGAAAATCCTTCTTAAGCCTAGTCCGTCATTAATTCTTTCCATTATTAACCTGCCTAATTAATCTGCAAACAAACAGATAACCTAGTTAAGCAGAAAAATGACATCACAGCAGTTTATTTTCATGGGTTCTTTAATTGCAAGCCACCGAATTCTGGTACAAAGAGTTACTTGTCAAACATAACACAAATCTCTAAAATAAAATATTGGCTTCAACAGACCTGCACATCTGAAATAGTTTTAAACTTTGTTTTAGTTGGAGTCTTTACGATGTCCAGGAAGAGGTTAGCACACCCGGTACCTGAAACTGTCCTTTCCACATGAGCTACAATAGAAAAGACAAATGGAACTGTTTCTGTGGTAAAGCCAACTTTGGCATCTCCTTATACTTCCCTACAACCTAAACAATAATACCTTTTAACCATGTTGATGATGTGAAAATATCACTCAAAAAGAACCTAACACACCACAAAATTATAATAATGTAATCCATCCTTCTGTCAAATGTTAAGTGAGGACATGGCAGATTGGAGGGGCAAGGAAGTGTCACTAACTTGTAAGTAGGACTTTTAACTATGATTTTAACTTAAAAGATGTCCAGCCCACTAGAAAATGTTAACATCTGCACACACTTACAATAGAGGAAAACAAAAATAAGTTCCCCACTTGGAATTTTCTGAGAAGCCTAGTAAGTGCTGTAGCGTTGATACCCTGTGTTATATGCATGTCATAAACTGTCAGGAAATGTGATTTCCATGCAGGATGCTGGACCCTGAGTGAGAATGACTGCCAGTAAAAACTCCCTGGCAGTCAGATTGGCCAAAGCACTGCTCTCCACTGAGATGCCTAGCACTCGATTTTAAGCTGTTTGCTCTGCAACAGCGAGGTGCAGTCCTTCATTATCCTAAAAGGTAAAGTCTGCTATACAGATAAAAATTAGATGGCAGGCACACCGAGAGCGAATGGGAGGAAAAAACAGAAGTAATGCTGTGTGCTGCTTTGTAGCAGGGTTTAGGACATGATCTTGATGAGATTCCTAAAAATTATATAACAAATTTCTTTCTCATTCCTTTCCAAATTCTGAATAAAGTCCCATCTTTGAGAGATAGATTAAAAACTTAAAATCAAAGGCAGTCTTTCAGACTGACCTTCATGATTATCAGCCCGTGATTTTGCTGAACACAGAAAATCCTTCTTAAGCCTAGTCCGTCATTATCAAAAGCAAAAAACAATAGACGTTAAAAAATAAAATTGATGCCCCCAAATGATACAGATCCAAACACACACACATACCACATACGCACATCACACACACATACAAAATGATTCAATAATCACAGTACTACAGATGCAAGGGCCAATGAATCTAATATCTTTATTAATTTAAAGGAAGAGATTTTATACTCAACCCAACAGTCTAAATAGCTGTCACATAACCAAAACACAAATTATCACCAATTCCATCATATTACCAAATGTAGCTTTTAGTAGTTCAAAACTGAATTCTAAAATGTAATATATTCTTAGAGAGTAATAACTCCCAGAGCAAAACAAGGACTCATATATAAAGCTACAAGTTCCTTAGAAACTGCTAAGTCTGGTCTTGGACCCTATTTTCTACCACATTCAGCCAAGATGAATTCATGTGATAAGGTGCACACAGCTCATCAAGAAAATGGCTAGAAAAAGGTGAAACTGTTTCCATGTTCCCTCAGTACAAAGCTCTGTAACACAACAAGCGCTGTACTTAAAAGTTTTGACTCAGTCAAAAACTAATACACAGTTTTGATGCTGTGTAAAAATTAACCTTGAATGTAATCATTGATTCAGTTTTCTTTTTATTCTGAAAAAATTAAAAGAAGAAAAAAAAATCACTGCTTTTCCTTAATTAAGCAGATACATTGTGCTAAAGAGCACATTTAATGTCTAGGGTCTTAGAAAAAGAACAGATGCACCTAATGAGTAAACACAAACAGTAAGTTACAAGTTGCCCCTTATTACTAAAGGCAAGAATCAGCATCAATACTCAAAAAAAGTGTTTTAGAAAGAGTGTAACTTACTTTTACTGTCCCAGGCTAACTGGGCTGTGTCTGGTGCTTCTTTGTCTGCACTTGGCCACCCACAGCCTGTCTTCTAATTAAATCAATGCTCTAGCAGCAGAACAAGCAACCAAGCTGCCTCCCATCTGTGTACAGCTCTTCAGGACACATTTGCTTTGGCCAGAAGGTGGAAATTCTTGGGAGAGGTGATTTTCTCTGCCTCTTCACAAGAAGAACATGGACACTTGGCTGGATGCAACTCCATGAAGTGTAACTGTGTGTGTACACCTCAAAAAATAAAACAAAAAATGCAGAGAAACATAAAGACTATATAAGCAGATGGAATACACAGAAATACTGAAGCACCCTGGAAATACTGCTAAACAGATAGCAAAACAGATAGCAAAGTAGGGTCTTTGCCCGAAATAATCAATGATAACCAAGTAGAAAAAAAATAAAGGTACAAAGAGCATCTGAAGTCAAAATCCAAATTTCATGCAATGAAAACATTTGAAGTACTACAAAGCAGAAAAGGCAAAACTCCTTGCTTCACATACATAAAAACAGGACCTCCCCGACTCCCCATTACAGAGAATAAAATCTATGGCCAATGGAAGAGAAAAATGAGACTTTCGGGAGTTGTGGGTCTAAAATTGGACTCCTCAGTCACACAGTGAGGGCATTTGTTGTATCTGTGAACTAGATGCATGGAGCTATCTGTCCAGAATGTTCAGCCCCTTAGGGGAGTGAAGGGGAGCAGGAAGCAAGGAGTTACTGAAATCCTCAGCTCCCTTCTGCTTAAGAAAAGATCATTTCTTCAAAACAAAAAATGTGCAGAAGAACAAAGATGCTCACTTATTTTAAATAACTGTTGACCTCGCAAATAAACAATGACAGTAAAGCAGCTGCCCCTATGTTTTTGCAACAAAGACTAAACACCAAAGTGGGGTAGGAAGCAGGTGTGGTCAAGCTTCTAATCACAAAGAAACCCTAAAAGCAAATTTGCTACAGGCTTGGTGAGAGAAAGGGGGTTATATCAGACCTTCCCAGTATTCCCTCCCATCCAAGATATGCCCATGTGCCAGCAGCAAGCCACACCGTCTTCATGACCACGAAGCAGCCCAAGGACTTACAGGCCTTCGGGGCTCTCTCTCCCTTTGAAGCACACACACAATTCCAGCTAAAAGAATAAGGCCAAAGGAAGGACATATGGCCTAATCCTGCAGCTGCGCAGAGCCCTGGGCTGCGGTCCACTAACCACAGGGAGGACATTCTGGAGATCCTTGCTTTTAGACATGCATGCAGAGCTGGCTCTATGGCTCAGGATGTAGAGGTCAGATAGATGCATAAAAGCCTTATATACACTCATATAAATGTACAATAATGCAAATATCTCCTTTTTTCCCCTCACACCCCAAAATATCAGCTGTCTGGATAAGAAGTTACTTCTATAAAGGATTTACCAAGGTTTACAAGCAAGCACTACATTGGATTATATAGAGATCCAAAGACAATGGACCATTTTTAGCAGACAGCTGTGAGCAATATAATCTGCTCTTTAAATGCTAAAGCATCTGGACAATCAACAAGCTTCAACCATGAAGTACCATCTCCTCTGACCATAGGAAGACATAAAGAATGAATCAACTCAACAAAAGATGGCAAGGTCCACTTAGAATAATCTAAGTTCAGCAAAACATTTTTAACAAGGAAGCCTGTACAATTTACCTTTCACCATATGAAATTCAAAGGCTATACTTATCACTATTGTTAATGCATAGTATTCTGCTTACCAAAATAATCAGTTTTCAAAACAAATTAACCAAAATCTCTCAAAGGATACACTCACCCAGCCAGATTCATTAATTTCCTCACAAGACTACAAGTAACCCGTCATATTGTCATATTTGTCAGTCATATTTCACCTATTATTCCTTATCAGAACTTTTTAAACCTCATCTTAATACTTTCAAACAAAAATTTTTGATGTGCAAAGAGCACTTCAGTAAGCATTTTATGAGCTCATTTTCTATCAGAATCTATGAAATACTCTTTACTTAAGCAGAGGCATCATTACTCACCCAGATCTAAATCCAATTTTCTCACCGAAAAAAATTCGTATCAGAAGTTGTACATGTGAAATGTACAAATTATGTGCAAACTATGGTCTAAAATTTAAAATCCACTGTCACTATCCAAACCAAAATTATTTCAAAAGCAGGCATGAAAGCAACTGTCTTCCAAAGGCACAGCCCAGACATGAAGATCATGTTGCTGCACAAATTCATCTTCTCTGCTGGGAGGGAGATCAGAAGTGTACTCTACCCAATGGATAGGAGTCACTTTCCCATCAGTTACAAAAAGAATCTCTAGAAAACCAGTCATGAAACAATGGGACCAAATCACTTTAACAATAAACTATTAAAATATGATCTATAAAACTGACTTTTTCCTTTCCTTCACCACATTGTGAAGACAAGCAAAATGCACACTGGCATCCACATCTCATTTTCACCCTCTCACTACAGAACACCTCTCATACGAGTGGCCACCTTCCCTCCCAAAACCCAGAAGGGAGAAGCTAGTCCGTTTCATAGGTAGGAACTTACACACTCACCCTCCCAGCCCTCTGGTGCTTTGCAGTTGTCTGTCTTGGTGGGTGAGAAAAATGAAACCACACAAGGGAATAGGATTCCAAGAAAAGCTCAAAAATGATTTGTTGAGGTGGTCTGTATAAATTATAGAGGCCACCAAAACCCAATTTTTTTTATTATAAATTTTATTTCACATTCTTTTTCTCCTCTGTGGCATCAAGTTGAGGTCAATGTACTTTTCACTATTTGGGTAAGTGCAAATTTTCATATTTTTCAAAACACGAGGCCAGATATCCCTGCTGGCCAATAAGGACCGTTAAACCATTTCAATCCACAGTTAGCAAAGTCCTCAAGGAATTCAAACCCAGTGTAGCCACGTGCCTAAGTAATAATGTAACAAGCAAGTTTAAAAAGTATTGTTTTTTTGAAGTCAAAAAGTATATCCCAAATACAGTCAAAAGACAAAGGTATAAGGGTTGCCCATATTTATTTGATAATTAGGACAAAGTCAGCTCTGCTAAATAGATTGACCAAAACTAAGGATAAGTGGTTTTACTCTCAAGTTAAACATAACAGTCTAAGTGAGATTCTGGAACTTTTCAGTTGACTGAAAGGACTTAATGTTACTCTTATTTTCCTAAGTACAGAAAACGTAAGAATCCAATTTTTATATATCCTCCCATTGATTCAAGCTGTTAGAATATGTCTTCAGTTAAACTCTTTATTTGAAGACCTCCCTGTTCAAAGATGACGAATCACAATTATGCAAGGTGACGGCAACTGCCGTGGCCGTACATGCATGACTTCCAACGTAATTCTTCAGATTGAGGAAAGTTCTTCCAGTTAGTGGAGGCTTAACCTTTAAACTACTAACATATATTTCATTCAAATATTCCACATAAAAATGAATTTTTAAAGATAACTCGTTGAAATTCTTCCCCAAACTTAATAAACTCACTCAGGCCACAGTCCAATCAAAATAACAGAACACACTTGTTTTTTAAAAACCTTCATATCCACACTCTTAAAAACCACAGGTCATCATCCAAAACTATAAAGCTCACTCACATGTAACTCCTTCCAAAATTTATTTTAAATCATTTTTAAGTATACATAAGTAAATTCTTTTACAGTAGGATTGATTCATCATGGGGAAAAAATATAGCAAAATATTCAGAATGAATAAGTAGGACTTGAGAAAATTAAAGTTATTCTAAGATGAAAAGAAAAAGGAAAACTTAATTTTACTCAATTTTGTATTCATAGTTGCCCTTAAGGTATATACCCAGCTGTTTATTAATCTCTCCCCAGGCCCACGCTGGCTCCATGCACCTGCAACCTCAGGGTATTGCCTTCTACACAAAGCAGTCATTTCCAATTAATGACTGAATTAAGTTAGATGAAGCTTACTTTGTGTATGTGCTTTGAGTAAAGGTAAGATTTGGTGGTAACCACACCAACTTTCTTCCTGGCATCACTTTTCCCCTTTTATCCACAACATATAATTAACCTTCCTTTGACAATGTAAAGAGTTACCACAAACATTCACTTCACATATATCATTTCCAAAGCACCTCACAATAGTCGTAACTGATAACAGTCATGAGTAGCTTCCCACGTGCCTCATACTGTTCTAAGTGGTTATCATACGTTGTCAGTTAACCTTCACAACTCTGTAAAGCAGAAATTACCATCCTCACATCATAAACGTGTAAACTGAGCCAAGGAGAGGCCGAGAGGTGCCCAGGGCTTTATGGCTCCCGAGTGGCACAGAGCTAGCGTAAGACCAATCGGCCTCAAGAGAAAGGGGCCACACACGCCCAGTCAGATCCTCAGGCACCAAGCTACACGCCCACCATCTACGTTCACCTTCCTCGACCACGGACCCTACCAAGCTCAAAGTGTTAACAAGAGAGCTACAATCCACAGAGCGTGATCCAAAGCGCAGCTCTGCGATGGCTCAGGGACAAGGCTAGCACTTCCGCTCAACTCTGGGCAATCTTCACAGGAAAAAGCAAGGCCTGGCATGACAGAGTAGGAGCCCTGCTAGTAGGAGCCTAATCCAACCAACTGGGGACAGTCTTCTCTATCACCTCCTCCCTCAAACTCTTATCTTTAAGTCTTATTTGAGTCCCCTAGTAATCTTGTCAAGCAAAAAACTATTCACTCACTGTCCTCTAAACTGACTTACACTAATCTACCCTCTAAAAATTTGAGAAACAGAAGTCAGGCTTCTGAAGCCCTCAATATCTCCTGGACAAACTTATCCTCAGGGTCTAGATTAAGAGAATTGAGAGACCCTCATACTGAAGTAGCAAGGAATACAGCGAACTTGAGAACCTCCACACTGAATTCCTCAACACCCACAGTTAACTGGAGATCAACCTAACAATCACACCGGACAAGACGCACCTAACAGAACACAGCTTCAGTATATATATCCAACTGATACATTTGTGAGGAAACTTCTTAAACTTGGGATACTTCCAGACAGTTGGAATTTTTTGTTTTCTAAACAACAGAATATATATTACTTTGAGAAGGTGTTAACTTTAGGAATTTTTCTTCTGAAAATATTAAGGAAATTCAAGCATCAAGCCACCAATAACTTGTATTCATGAATCTCACAAAACCAGGGGAAAAAATGAAATTTAACCAACTTCTTTATATTACTCAGAGAAGTCTCCAATAAG